ATCTTTTTCATAAGATGATTCTTTTGCATAGTAATAATAATCCGAAGCCATTTTTAATTGAATATTTTAATTATATGAAACTGCCCTTGTTTATGGTCAGCTTGACCTTTTCTTTTTTTTTTCAAAGAAAGTTTATATACGTCTTATCGAGAGAAAGGAAAGAAAGGGAGTGAATTATCTAATTGTTCCCTATAGAATAGAAACATAACACAAAACTGCATACTGATTAAATTCTGTGGACTTTCAGCTAATGGAAAATCCGGAAAAGTTTCACATGTGGCAATGTGTCCTGTATAAAACTCCGCAAAATCACATCGATCACTTCCTAATGGATACAGCGCTAGTAGATGAATTTTGTCGTATGTTCGCTTTGTAAAACAGATTTCTTTGTATCCTGTATTCTTCATGAATTCCGAACTCATAAACTTTAATCAGTATGAATTTCTCGATAGTAGGGACTTTACTTTGTGGAAAATTTACATATTGAGTATTCTGTGTATTTTATTGACCACGTATGGCACGTAATCTCTTCCAAAAACTATACGCAGTATAGTCTGAATATCTATTAGTCTTCTTTTAGGATTATTACTTGTCGGTCTTATATTATGGTTACTATGCTTATGTTGTGAAACATTTGGTAAGAAAATTAGTAGACATCGATAGTATTCACCAGGATCACACAGCTTTGCCATCCAGTTATTTACCAAATCATTCACAGACGAGACAACAACGAATAGAAGTATGTATTTAATTGGTTAATTGACTTTGATTAGTAAAGAATTCGAAAGGTCAGTAAGAAAAGTATAATTACAAATAAGAGAAATCGATCGAATCAGAGATGCACCATGACGTTTGTTTCCGTCAATTTTGGTATTCTTAGCAATAGATGATGCTCTAGAGTAGATTAATCTAATCGTCATACCAACAGTATGTTCACATATAAATTTTTTGAAAAGCGCTGAATAATAATAAACATCATCAGACCATTATATTTTACCTTTTGGTAACGTAACATCCAAAATATAAAATGTGTTTAATTTATGTCGATCAAAAGAAAACTATTTCGTTTTCTTTGTTACATCAATCGTGGTATTTGCAATTTTTGTTTCATCTCTATCAGGTATATAGCATCGAATTAAGTCACATAGAACGAATTGCGTTATTTCGATGAATCCATTGATTTAGTTACAGATTCTTTAAGTTTAATATTGTGCAAATTATCAATTATTTGAATAGACAACTATTCAACTGAGTGAACACAATAACTACCGATCATTCAATTCTATTCCAGTAGTTTGTATATAATACTGATAGGATGTTATTGATTCTTTCTTTTGTAGCCACTCACAAACAACTTGAATTTACAAACTTCAATGAACAATACATCCGTAACAAATACAATAAACTCAACACAACAGCAACCTTCAGAAGACCACAATCTTAGTGTCAATAGAACAACGCCTGCGTACAAAGACGTAACACAACAAAATTGAATAAGAATTACAGGTGAAAAATGAATCTTCACCACCAACAAGCTGTCGTGACTTTATTCGGTACATATACACTAAGAATGGAGTCACATAATCCTCAGAATAACAATGAACATCCGTCATTATTCGTATAATCATAGTAAATAAATATTTATATGAAATTTATCAAAATCACGACGTCTGTTTGACATTATTCTTTATTGGATAAAATTAAAATGCAGTTCGTTGATGATTATTTCGAATCGATTCATGAGACATGTTGGAAATTGTATAAGGAGTGTCATGCAGAAGAGTTCGATTTTGTCGTTGTTTTTTTCGTTGATATTGTTGGAGTAGTCGACGAAGTTCGATGATTGACATTGATGTTCGTTGTTTCCGCTTTTCTTCTGAATTTCTCCCCACATCGGTTAGAGTTGATTTATGTCGATGTCGGTGTCGACAACGAAGAATAGCTCGAAGAAGTGGTGTACCAATTAGTTTGATCAAAAGAAAAGCCATAGCAAATAATTCAATGATTAACGTACAGAACAGCAACGTGTGAAAAGACAGTTCAGCAATTCGCACGATTGGTCTTTGATTATTTTGTAGAAAAAAAGGTTGTTCATTCACAGTGATTGCTAAAGTTGTTCGTTCGCTAACATATCGAAGATATTCACCATCTTGCTCATAAGCTAATCTATCTGAGATCGAATATTCACCGAACGTCGGTGTCCACCGACCAGTAAAGTATGTATCGTGACCAATGGTTAATGGTTTTGTTTGGTTAACAACTTTCACAAGTACAACCGAAAGAGTCGATGTTCGTGCTAAAGTTTCATTTTGTGTGTAGAAAAATTGACACGTATCAAGTTTTTCAAGTGTATTTACATCGTTTACATCACCAGGAGCACGTAAACATAAACGAACACCACCAACGAAATACGAACCAGTGATGTTAATTTGTACAGTTGTTTGATGAGATGGAAGAAGAAAAGTTGTTGAAGTTGTCACATTATCTGGTTGAATTTGACATGAAATATTGGTTAGACGAAGATAGTTCACTCCTGGTCGATTTTGTTGAACAGTCAAATCTTGACAAGTAGCTGCTGTATTAATCAAATCTAATGTCATTGTAAATGGCTGATTATCTAACATATCAAAGATCGGCCATCGTGTTCCATCAACATTTGGCAAAGGTAATTGAAGAGCATTGTCAAAGACAGCATTTCTCAGTGTTGAATCACACGATGCACGTGGAGATGATGATGTTTCAATAGGATAAAGTTTGAGATAATCATCAGCAAACCAAAAGGTGAAACCAAACAAGACAACAATCGCAAATGAGAATAATCCACCGATCCATCGTTCACCTTCACCGACGATATCCGTGTTTTTCAAGAACTTCTTCGCCCTGTTCCGTTGTTGTTTCAATAACTGACAAGGTGCGACTTTCCCAATAGTCATTAGAAACCATGTAATACAGCAAAGTGTCATGACGATCAATGTCCAAAACAAGGGCGAAATGCGTAAACATTGTGTATTGATCGCGAAGATATTCTGAACAAGTAAATCGTCATAGTTATTCATATCTGGTGAATCGGGATATGTATAAGTTTGAGTGTAACTCGAATAGTTGTTATAGAAGACATCGGTGATCGAACCTAATGGACAAAAGGAATTTGATGAACAGGGAAGACATTGTGTACATGGTTGATATGCTGGATTTCTTGTTTGTGGTGGACAAGCTTGACATAATCCAAAGCCATTCTCTTTCTTATATTTACCAGGAGGACATGGTGAAGAACCAAAAATATACATAAATACGTCACTAGTGTCGGTCCATACTGATAGATAGCCTGGTAGTTGTGATGGAACAAAAAGGGTTGTAGTAAATTCAGTTAGAATAAACAAATTCTTCGACCATGAAAGAATCTGATAAAAACGAGGAGCGACAAACGCTGTCAAAGTTTGTTGATTATTTGGAAAAACATATTGAGGAATCGTGAATGGACTATCAACGGCAAATGTCCAAACTTCTGATTTAGACCAAGAATGAGCGTTCGCAGATAGAACATCGATCGCAACTGTTTCATTATCAATCCAAGCAACAGATTGGCCAAAACCACTATCTGATGGCCCGAAATCAGTACGTACACGTTCTATCATCCATTTGCTCGTATCGATACTTGTTGCATTAACAATAAATAAAGAAACAAGATTAATCAATGGGTAACCAGCAATAGCCATTTGTCGTTCTTTATTCACAGATATTGACATATGATTAGCAAGATTATATGTTTTCGCAAACGAAATTGTTTGGAGGAAACCGTCGAAAATACTTGCAAAACCGACTAACCGAAGCGGATTTAATGAGCAAAGAAATACAATAGGTGCAGCTAGATTGGAATTGCCTGGTGTAGCAACATACGCTGCAATTAGAGCCCAATCTTCTGTTAGATCCATTGCATGCGGATACTTTCCTGGAATTTGATAAAAACTTGTTGATGCTTTCAATTCAACGATACGATTTTGTGTAATATCAAATTTCAAAACAAATGAATCAGCAACTACATATGCATATTTTTGTGATGGAGATACTTTTAACAACATAAATTCTTGATGTGTACCATTCCATATCAATGTATCACGAATGGTAATGTTTCCGATCGTCATATTATCTAAAATAATCATAGAACTTCATTGATTGTTAGATTGTCTGATAAACTTACTGCATGATGATGTATCAATTGTAACGATACTGAAATAGACATTTTGTGTTGATGTTTGTTCAGCTATTTGTACGAATGTGACTGATCGATTATTCGAACTGTATACAACATCTACACTATAAACGTATAAATCTCGACTTGCATTCGAATATGAGCATCGCTCTTTTGGTGTAAATGGAGAATAAGCCAGAGAAAAGCCAGAATTGAGATTAATGGCAAAGATAATAAATTGATCATTTCCAGCTATTCGTACACCATGAGCATTATCATCATTAGTATCATAGACAATTTGACATGAAATCGATGAAAGAACGACAGAAAGAAGAATAAATTTCTCGAACATTACTTATGAGAGAGTGAAGTACTGAATAAAAAGCTAGTTTTATATCGATGAAATTAAGTCAATCGATCGTTCGTGACATCGTATGTCCTCTCAAGGTACTTAGATTGTATTCATATTGAAAGAAAATTTTGGGCTATACACTTAAACGATTAGTTCGTTCTTTTTTATTTATTCAAAACAATTTGTTGATTCAGTTATTCATAGATTTATACAAATGTCTATTGAAGCGTAAAATTCAGTGCTTTCGCTCGACAACATCAATGAGATTTCTCTTGGTTTTATTTTATTCGTTGATTTATATCAAGATGAAAAGCATCTTCAAAGGCTTTCAATTTCTGTTCTGTTCCACTAAGAAACCAAATGTGTTGAAAAGCATGTCGTTGCTGAGTATTGAATCGATCATTCAATGGTTCGAATAAAACTTCTGCCCATAGTTTAGCAATGGTATGAATATTGTTTTGAAAAGCACCACAACCAATTGGTCCCAAAATCAAATATGTTTCTTTTCCATTCTTTTCACTATTCGCTTGTGCAGCTGAGATAATCGTTTGAAATTTCTTTCGAGTATTTACTTCGATTTGTTCATTCGAATCTGGCACGTGATATAAACCTTCTTGTCGTGTCAAATCATAACATGCACCAGCAATCACGTCGACTTTTGCGAATTCTCGATTATCCGGTGCTTTATAAAACTTCACATTTTTCATGTATAAACATCCAAATTCTGGAATGAAGAATCCGCCGTCGAAGCGAGTGTACTTAAAATCCATTAATGCACGATATGTATCGGAATGATAACAGATTGTTTCTTCTTGGGTGCGAGCACCGTATAGAAATAGACCTTCGACAAAAAAAAAAGAATTTTGTACGTTTTGAATGAGAAAAAACTGAAATTACCTCCTGGCATTCTTTCATCGGCAAAATCTAAAATGATGATTTGCTTTCCTGGCGGAATATCGAAAATAACTTGTTCGACTCTTCCTTGTTTTGTATTGATAATTCCTTCGTTTTGACGTTCTTCGATAGGAAAATTCATAAGATTTGCTTTCACATCCGCATCAACAAAACCTGCCGATTGAAAAGTTGCATTTGAATATGGAATATTTGCAATTTGCTTTGTATTAAAATAAATTTTCAATTGTTCGGGTGAAAATCCATTTGTATTTGTGAATTGTCGTGTATTTTTTGCAAATAAATGAATATTCGGTGAGTTATTGTTCAATTCCCAATAGAATTCATATTTTTCATCATGATTGTTATCGAATTCTTTTTTAAATAGATCAATTTGTTTCAAATATTCAAATTGTTCTTTAAATCTATGAATTTGTTCATGTGTGACATATTTCGACAAATCAAAACCAACCGAGTGCATATTCAAAACATATTTCAACGCCACTTTTCTTGCTCCATGTGTATCCACACGTTGAACATCATCAGATAAACACAATTTCACTAAACTTTCAATATCTTCTTTGGTAAGAGATGCACATGGAATATAAAGTAAAGATGACATTTGTTATTCGATTGAAAATACTTCACACAATTCCTTTGTTTGTCACGCTTCATCGAACACTCGAGGGTTTTTTTTCAACGAATCGATATGTTATCCAGTAATTCCTGTAGATGACATTAGATATGTTGAAAGTTAATCGAGTCGAAACTTTGACTTTGTGTTCTGTGGAAATTAAAAATAACTCAGTTTAATTCTCATTTTCTTAGATCTAATCAAACAGAAATGACGCTCTATCAGTTGAAGAAATCCTTCAATTTACACGATTTCCGTCGCTCAGAGGAAACCTATTAAGAAATAATCTCACTTTGTGACTAAAATACTTAAAGTTAATATCAAAAATGAGACAACTCATTCATTGAATAGACAGAAGTTTTTCTGCTTTCTTTTCCTGTCAGTTCAAAATAACAAAATCATTTTCAACTACATCAATTATGTCATCATTGATTGACTTACTGAATGAAATATCTGAACAAATTAATCTTATTGTTGGAATCCTATTTTTCTTTGGAGGATTAATTGGAAACATTATCAATATCTTAATATTTTCACCAATTTTAAAAACACAGTTATTCCCATCAACTCCCTCTCGTCTCTATATTCTAACAGGTTCAATAGCGAATTTGATTTTTATCGTCTATTTATTATCAACTCGTATTCTAATCTCAGCATTCGCAATTCCATTAACAAATACAATTACTTTCATTTGTAAAACACGTTTCTACATAGGACAGGTTTGTATGTACACATCATTATACAGCACATGCTTAGCGACAATTGATCAATATTTCCTAACCAGTCGGTCAGTACAAACTCGTCAGCTAAGTCGATTAACCTTAGCGAAAGTTGTTCTATTCATTTTACTTTTTATGTTCATCCTAATTAATATTCCAATTTTGTTTATTTACAATTTATATCCAAAAACTAATGGAACATCAACTATATGTACAGTTTATTCGCCTGTTTGGACATTTTATTATACATACATTCAAAGTTTAATATTTCTTTGTCTGGCTCCATTGTCGATTCTTATTCTATTTGGAATTTTGATCAAACATAATCTGCAATCTGTTCGACAACTTCACCAGTCAATTAAAAATCAAATGACAAAGATGATCTTATACCAGGCGATGGTCATGTCGATATCATTATCAGTTGCCACAACTCAAATCATCTATCAACAAATAACGAAAGATATTCCCAAAGATCTTCTGCGTTCTTCACAAGAAAACCTATTTAACACAATTGCGAATTTATTGACTTACGTTAATTATATTGGATCGTTTTATATTTACATTTATTCATCAAAATCTTTAAGAAAAAACTGTCGAAATCTTTTACTGGGACAACCAATTGGATCAAACACACATTCCCAACGAGATAAATCGACCCTTCAAAACTTTATTAATCAAGTGCGTCCAACGGCAGATCCCATTCATTAATACAAAATGCAGAGCAGAAAAATACTGATGTGCTCGATCAAAAGTCATAAGAGTTGGACTATTCAGTACTTTCTCGCAACTAAAATAAACGCTTGTTTCACCATTAATATCTCTGTTCGAATTGATCTGTGTTGAAGAAAAATTTCTTTGTGTACATTAACAACATTCTTGTCAGCATAGGAAGAAAAGCATAGAAAATGTACGTGGATTCTTTTGCGTCGATCTGGTTTGAATATTCTCTTTTCCAACTGGAAAGAAAATACGAATCGTAAAGATTCACATGGACGAAAGCATAAGTTCTAAATGTGACACATGGATAATGTGCAGGAAAGAAAAAAAGAAAGATTTATCTAAACGTACATTGGAAACATTTGATAACAATTGGCTTTTTGAAAAACCGAAACCAATGAAAAGGTTTTTTCAAATGAAATTGTTAAACTTGTAACAAACTATACAATACCATGAATATTTTGTACCGTTTGGTTGTAAGATGAAAATGTATATGAGATCTTTTTTTTTCAGATTTGAAAATGTTAAACAAACATTCGTTAATACTAATGAATTTGAATTCATTAATTGGTGACGCTCGAGAAAAAAACCAAATCATATCGTTATCAAACTCGGTATTCTTGAGCAAAAACTTCATTTTCGAATAAGTAATAGGAAGAAAACATTGGTCTTTTCTTTTCCGATAGAGAAAGACACTTGTCTTTTAGAACTTTCTCAATGAACACCACGTGAAATATAGGAACCACAGTGTCCTTATTAAAAAGGGTATGTCAAATTAATGATAGCGATCCTAATGCAGTGCGATTTTCATAGAGAGATGAAGGAAATCCATAGTTTTACTGAACAGTTACACCGGAAACTGCAACAAATCTTCCCCAATAAACTCTTCAAAGATCAGCGAACGAATGTAAACCTCGATTCAAATCAAGGTACAGATACCAATGAATGTAACGATGTGTTCTCACCTTCGTCAATCCTTGATCATAATCTTACACTTGTTAAAGAATAAGTATACGAAAACAATGAGATCATTCTTTTGCGCAGAATATTTTCGCAACCAGTCATATCATTTGTTCCATTGAACACTCCAAAGATTATATAGATCTTTTTTTTCAGTTTTGTTGAAAAAAATAAACGAAGAATGGTCATATGAACTCTGATTTTGGTTAGACATCTTGTTAAATTGAGAGACATATTAAAACAGATAATTAAGTATTAGAAAGGGTTAATTTCGATAGAGAACTATATCAATAGCTTGCCATTGCATTTCGCGATAAATCACATCTTCATCCTGTTCAACCATCTTATAGCATTCATCACTTTTCTTTCGAACTATGCTCCGGGGATCAATTTAAGATAAAACTTTCTTTCTTCGTTGTTTAATTTTCAAGCTCATCAACAAGATTTCTCATTCAAACTTTTTTCAATTAATAATTACATGTACAACAAAACATCAGAGAAATTCGAAATGATTTACTTCAACACAATTGTCAATGCGAGGAGCTAATAGAATGAACAAGTAGCCAGCGCTCAGCATTCCTTCGCAGGTTTTTCTGTCCTACTATGACATGTCATTAGCGATTAATTATCTTAATTTAAGTCACATTTGAAGAAAAAAAACCTCTATCTAACGTACATATTACAAATCGTTCATTCAATAATTCCTTCAAAAACAAATTTCATATATCCACTAAACAAAACATCAACGATAAACAATCTGAATAAATATGACAAGCGCTATTTCAATAAATCTTATCACAATCCTTGGTAGTTATGTTTGAAAGGACAAGAATGATTATGAAACATTTCTCAAATGGTGTTCATGTGTTTTAATGAAAAGAAGTGATCGGATAGGACCAGAAGTCTCATGGAATGAAGTAGTTACCTCAATGTCTCTCTCTCTGTTTATCTATTATATTTATATAATGATTCGCGGATTACTATGTTCTCTAAATCTGTTTGATAAATAACTAAATTCAACAAAAAATACAAGCCTTTATTAAATAATAACTTGTAAAATATTGACATGAAACGACCACAATTGATTTTTCAAATAACACAGCAAATATTTGAGCACATCAATACTTATATCTAGAAGTTATTGAGGGAAGCACAAAGCTTGTAATAGAAGGTACGGATGAAAAATTCCCGAATAAGAAGTCACATTCACTGGTTTTTTTTTCGAAAGACGTGTGTTATTATTTTCGTTGACGGAATCGATCAAATTGAGCTGAAACAGACAGAACAGATGAGTCGAGTCGTGATCATTTATCGCAAATGAAGAAATTTATATTCAACATATGTTCAATTAGATTTTCCGCCAATCAGATCTCTTTACCTTCCAATGAAGATGTTCATAATCATAGAACTATTTCTTATGTTGATTATTTTTCAAATTATCAAAAAGCACAGTGACATGTCTATTCACTTCCGTATCAGTTAAAATATTACGATAATCTTACAAATAATCTACTAAATGAAATGTTTAAACATGTCAGAGAGATTTCATTGTTTGATGAACGTCCATTCGAACATGAATTTTTTTCTTCGACTTGCGAAATCATTTCCATTGATGAAAATATTAACTATATTCAATAGACAATCGCAGAAAAACAAATCTTGTCAACAATCACAAGATGATCAGCAACATTTATCAGTCATTCAATATCCTCATCTGACTAAATTTGTTCTTGATGATGCTCATTATGATTATATCGAACAGTTTCTCTTAAATACCAAAACATGTTTAACAAGACAGCTCGATTTAGACGTCAGTTATCAAGTTTTAGATGCTGTAATATATCATTTCTCAAGAGAAGCAACACGAGTCAATTGTGCCAAGTTACTTCGTTTATTTGTATTTTCCAATATTTTGGTCTCACTTCATTTAAGAGACTATTTACCATGTACAGAATTTATATCGATGTAATTCATTGTCGATGTGATCAAAATGATGGCGATGCTGATATAGCATATAAGGGAGGCACACGTGTTGATATCCCGTTTCACATTTATGGAGACTGATAAATTATATGTTCCATTTTATGTACAAATATCACCTAGTTGCAAATAAATAACAAAAAAACCTTTATAATAGCAACGAGTATCAGTGTTTTATCTCTTCAAAGCATGTTCAGTATGCCACAGTGCTCGTTTATAGTAAAACTCCAGTGCTTTGATACCTTGAAATAGTTCATTTTGATGTTGATATTGCCAATAAATAAATGTAAAATCTTCACAAGCACATAAAATAATCTCATCAACGATTAAATGAAATACTTCTTGTTCAGTTTGTGATGAAACTTTTGCAACACCACCTGAGATTTGTTTCATATATTCACTAATGAATATTCTCATTCGATCAACATCAGTGATAATCGATGGTGATGATGATGTACAAAATGTTGATAAACAAACAGCAAGATCTCGCCATAATGTGTCATAATTCAGATTTTCAAAGTCAATGATGCCAACGATCTGATCATTTTCATTATTCGATGACCAGATGATCTTCGATGGACGAAGATTGCGATGAATAAGATAATTACGATTCGAATGACTCTTTTCTTGTTTCGAAAGTGATTCTTCCAGCAATCGCGTCAATAACGGATAACATCCAAGATAATATTCATTGACTAAATCGATTCTTTCTTTTCGACATTCATTAATCACATCCTAAATAAACAACAACATCATCGATTCACATCATCATCAAGGGCAACCTACGATGGATTGTTTGAATTCTTTGAGAAGATGTTCACGAGTTGTTGATTTCTTATTTGTTGATAATGTTGACGAATTAGTAATAAGAAATTGATGATATTTTGAGATAAGTTTAGCTAATAAGATCAGTTGTTTTTCATCGAATAGATGTGCACAATCACAATCATTATAAACTTTACCATGAATATATTCATATAACCAATATTTACCATTAACATGTCTTTCATTTTTAATTGTGAGAAGAGGAAGAGGAACACGATATTCATTATTAAAATAACGATTTAGATCAGTGAGATATTTCAATTCAAGATCTAAATTATTTGTTTGTGATGATTTAAGTACATAGGAGAGATGTTCGGAACATTTGATGAGCCAATTGTATCGAGATAGTTTGGTAAGAGTGATAGGTGTTGAAGGATCAATAGAAGAAAAGATATGTGGCCAATGAAGGGAAAGAAGATTTTCAATATCTTCAACGTTTTCCATTCGAATTCAATTTGACATGTAAAAATTTAATTGAATACTCTGTTTGATATGGTTGAATAATTGGAAATTAAACTGAAAAACAGAGATAGAAGCGAAATGCTTTGTGTGATTTGCCGGCCATAGGATTGGCTAAAATTCTAACTAATATTTAGTTTTTATTTCGTAAAAAATCTTTTTACGAAGATTTTCTACACATTAAGAATTTAAAACGAAATATTAATGAAAATCTAATTAAGAATGTTCGATCTAATTGTATACAAGTGACATCTACGCCTGCGTCATTCCTTTTTCCGAACGTGATCGTCAAAATAGACATGCTGCACTCTGGTTCTCTTTTTCATGTCACGTATTCAAAGTATCGAGGGATAATCGATCTTATGGTATGCTTCCCAACTGTGACATCAGAGATGCAAATGAAGTTATATATAATTACCATAATTAGTTTGTGAAAAATAAAAGAAATGAACATAGGTTTTTCATTCAATGCAAAAAAAGTGACATACCTTCAAACAAGAAATTTTGATGAAAGTGAAAAAGAATTTATATCACTTTCAATTAGACATAATTGTGTCTTTTATCTCGCACTTGCACGCACAATCTCACGTTCTATCTCAAACGAACTAACAAATGTCCTTACTTGATATTAGTCAACAGTTAACAATTTATATTGGCCTATTTCTGCTTATTTTCGGTGTATTAGGTAATAGTTTGAACGTTTTAGTATTTTCCAGTGCTCGCACGTATCGTACAACTCCTTGTACATTTTACTTTCTTATCAGTTCAATTGCTAACATTGGATTTCTCTTAATAAATCTTACATCTCGTGTTGTTAGTGTTGGTTTTAATTTTGACCTAGGTCAAACATCGGTGCATTGGTGTCGAGCACGACAATACTTTATCGGTGTTTTCAGTTTAATTTCGTTTACTTGTTCGTCTTTGGCTTCGATTGATCAATATTTCGTGACATCAAAACATGTTCACTTTCGTCGTTTAAGCAATATAGAATATGCATATCGAATTACACTCCTTATTTTCACAATCAGTTGTCTCCATGCCATTCCTTGTTTGATATATTATGACATTTCACCAGTGACGAAAACATGCGTTCTGGTGAATAGTGCTTATGCGAAATATATCCCAATATATTCTCTTAGTTTGACGTGTTTTGGTCCAATTATAGTGATGATTGTTTTTTCCTATTTGGCTCATCAGAATATTCAATCAACACGAGTTCTTGCCGAACAACAAGCTGGTCGGCAATTACGGAAAATGACTCTATTTCATGTGGTACTTGTTATCGTTGTCATCCTTCCATATAGTATAAATGTGATCTATCTACTCAAAACAGCCGGAGATTTCAAAGATACGAATCGGTTGATCAATGAGAGCTTTGCTTCAACAGTTATGGCATTGTTAACCTATGTGTACTATGCTGTGAGTTCATTCGCTTAGCTTTTTTTGTTTTCTATAGTTTCTTTTCATGTAGGGAAGTTGTTATATGTTTTTAATTTCATCAAGTCGTTTTCGTCGAACGGTAAAAGGCAAACTATTGATTTGTCAAAGATCTCTTCAAATATATCCTCATCGACAAACTACAAATTGAATTTGAAACAAAATCTAGATTTAATGACGATTCGTTTGTCTCTGCTTCCAAGAGAAGAAAGCTTTTCACAATGAACATCGGTGCATTGTAGACGCGACTTCAAAACATTTATTGATTCATATTTTTTTAGTTGCAAAAATCTGTATTTCCGTTTCCTTCTCATTCATAGAATATTGACATTGACATTAACAATAACAACAACATTCTTCAGGCAACAAAAGAAAAAATCACTTCCCTAACTTCAATTCCTTAGACGGATTGTCTAGGCCAAATGATTGATATAGTCTCAGAGTGAAATAAAGACAACATCACCAAAAGACGGGCAATGACGCAGCTAATAAGCTCAGCGGACTAAAACAAAAGATCGCTAAAAAGAAGGAGAAAGCCGATTTAACTGAAACAGCGACGAAAAGTGAAAAAAAGTAGTCACATTGTTTCCAACGGTCACAATGGGTTATCTATAAACTAACAAAAAATGCATGCGTTAATTAAAACATAACAGCCATTTATTTACTCATGAGTACAAATAAAACACATAAGTCTTTTCAATGACAAATATTGAATATATGACCTTTAGTTTTTCCGTAACTTTACAAGTCTGGGGGTCCGAATAAATGGGTGATCAGACGAAAATCGTTGACGACAATACTTTTTCTTGCTAAACCAATTCACTACATGATCTTTTAAATGCGTTTGTTTCTTAATCGGTGATGCATTTCATTCGCATAGTTCGTGTAAAAGTCGCCATTGTTGAACAAATTTGAATAAAATGAAATGACTTGTCTGGAAGATTTGCCTGACTTTCTGATAGTTTTCATTTAGAATAAGCTCAATTTCCTCATCTGTACAAACTGATTCCGATCAATCTTGATCATCAACCAACAAGACATTATTTTACTGGTAAGGATATAACTTTATTCAATTCTATTGATAGAGATCCGACTTTGATCAATCACCAATTTTTGATATTTCGAAACAAAAAAATAACACATTTGACGATTTCAATTGATGATGTGGAATTATAGCTCTTGATTGTTAATAAGAACGAGAATCTGTATGCATTTATTTCTTTCTTTGATATTTTCACAATTAACTAAATTATTTATATATAGGTCATGTCTTTTGGCGTCGATATTTCATATTGATTTTTATTCACATGGAGATGTTGAATGTCATATTTTCTCTCCTCCATATACAATGAACGAAACCTTTCAAATTATTAGTCATCTAGATTATTCCAAACAAATCTTCGCTGATGCACATTTTACACACGATGCAACTCGACGAAATCGTGCTCATATAGATTACATTCCTTCCTTTCAGCAAATTGTTCACCCGGAACACTTCTATCGATACTGTTCTTTGCTGAAAATAAGTTCTCAAGTATGTGGTACATCGCTCACACTTTCACCTTAAACAGTCTCACAAGCTTCGCTTACAATCACTGCATAATGTGATGAAAATCCGTTCGAAATCATGAACTATAAATGTATTATTCACTGATTCGTACACACGGATGAACATAAGCAATTAGAAGAGCATCTCTCACATGCACAAGATGAATTCCTATTTCAACACTTCTATTTCATACTCTTTTTAGAACGTGATTTTTACGCAACCAGAAAGTTTCTAGTTTGTAGCTAGGCGATTTGTAAAGATAAAGTTAAATAATGGTGTTATTATTAGACAAATAGTAACAACTGAATCTTATCCTTAACGAAATAGAAATAAATAATTTTGTATACACGCAGGTATAATGAATTTGACAAAAGCAAGCGATGCGCTTCGATAAACATCAGACGGCAAAATAAATGCAAAAAGTATAGACATTGACGGTAAAAAACCAATCAGATAACTTGGTAAAGTAAGAAATGGAAATCGATCAAGTTTACTGCATACGAATATAAAAGCAAATACTAATCGAGGTATAGCAAATATAGCTAAAAGAATTGGAGCCACTAATAAATGTTTGTGTTTAGCAATTTGTACTATGATACCGTTTGCTGCCAGTTTCGACATAAAATTCGTATTCATCGAAGTAAAAGAAAGATTAATAGATGATGCTTGT